TATTTTTTATTTATTTATTTATTCACTTATTATTATTATTTTTTTTTTAATTGTTGCTTCCTAAAAGCACTTCAGTGCCTTTAATGTTTCCTATGGCTTCTTATACGAATGAATCATCTCAAATAAGTAGGTCTTCATCATCTTCTATGATTTTGGCACCTTCAACTGAGTCTGAGTCTGATACAGAAGAAGAAGTGTGTTTTACATTTAATGAAGGAATTGAACAACTTAGAAAGGATCTTATGAAAAATGAACAAACATTCACTGCAACTGAGTATAGTAAACGATAATCAGTTTATAAGTATTTTGTACAGTTATATAGTGATGTCAGAAAGATGAAAACAAGTGAAGGGGCTGCATGTATTACCTGTATCTTTCCAAAACTATACACAGCCCAAAGAACTTAGTTTTTGGCTGAATTTTATTTACATCATGGTTCATTTCCAACTCCACAATGTGGTAAGCACCAAAAGTGCAAGTGACTAATTGATAATGAGGATGTTGCCTTGCAATGTTAACAATGGATACACAAGGAATCGGGCATGAATAGCATTAGTTCATTTTGTTTTATACAGTATGTAAATACTGTTATTTTACTCCAATATATGGTGACCAAAAAATTTGTTTACGAACTGCAGAAAGATGATTAGGTATTTTAGGGTGCAAGTGTAAAGAATACAAAAAGGGGATGTATTTTAATAGACACGAAAGAGAGAATGTTGTAGCATATAGAAGAATTTTTTTAGATAGAATAAGAACCCTAGAAAGAAGAATGGCAATATATGAAAGGGAAGGAATGGTAAAAATTTTATCAGTTTTAAATAGAGAGAAACAAGAATTAATTTTTGTAACCTACGATGAATGCATATTTTACTCAAATGATAGAAAGAGATGAATTTGGGTATTCTATAGTAAGATGTCATTACAAAAAAAGGTGAATAGAAGATCGATAATAGTGAGCAAATTCATTTCAGAAGAGTGTGATCGATTAAAGCTCTCTAGTGAAGAAATAAGAATACATCTAGAAATTCCCAGAGAGGCATGTTGTTATATTATGCCTAGTAAAAATTAAGAAAACTATTGGACTATTGATTGTTTATTAAATCAAATTCAAAATAAAGTTATTCCCATATTTGAGCCAAAATTTTCCAACATAACTGCCATTTTTGCTTTTGACAACAGCACTAATCATTCAACATATGCAAAGGATGCACTTATTGCATTGAGAATGAATTTGGGGCCCAGCAGAAACCAACCAGTAATGTGGTTAACAACTTATAATGATGCTAATAGAAATCAACAATTTCAGAGTATGGCTTTTGAAGAGGATTATGAAGATCCAGCTATGCAAGAAAAGCCAAAAGAAATAAAATTAATATTGCAAAAAAGAGAACTTTAGAGAGAGGAGTTGCATTTAGAATGTAAAATGTATAAGAATAAGGAATTGCAAAATGATCATTTATGAATAAATTGCTATGCAAGAAAAATTATGGCCTTTCAACCAGATTTTATTGCACAAAAGTCAGCTGTTGTGGAACTAATAGAGAACACTGGTCATTTGTGCATTTTTTATCTGAAATTTCATTGTGAACTCAATTTTATTGAAATGTATTGGAGTGCAGCCAAGTGTTATGCAAGAAACCACTGCAATTATTCTTGGGCTGGCTTACAGAAAACTGTTTCATAAGCACTTGACTCCGTTAATTTTGTTACAATAAGTAGGTTTGCTAGAAAATCTTGGAGATACATGGAATTGTATCATGAAAGACTAACAGGAAAATTGGCTGAATTTGCTTGTAAGAGATTTAAGTTATATAGACAGATTTCACAAAGAGAATTGGATCTCTTCATTCAAAATAGCAGAAATCATATTGATTTGTAAGTTTTTTTATTCTTTTTTTTTTTTTGTAAAAAAAAAAAACTAAACTAGTTAATTACATTTATTCTGTTTTAGACCTAATGAATAAAATCACTATTTCAATTCCGGAGATGAACTGAAGCTTGAGAAATTTTTTTAATTTTTATAATTCGCGAAATGAACCCAGGGTGCCTGTTTGATTTTTTTTAATTTTTTTTAAACAGTAATATGAATTCAGAGTGCCAGAAAGCATATGCATGTTTAAATTTTTTTTGATTTTTTAATTTTCGAAATTAATTTTCTTTGGTTTTTTTTTAAAATTGCATTTTTTTAGCTTAGTGTTAGCAAATAATTATTAGTCAAAATGGATAACAATAAGTAAAATTAGAAAACCATGGGATATAAGAGATTCATTTATTATATGAATGTATACTGTAGCAAAATTGGTCTCTAGTAAATAAACAAAAGCATTGCACAAATAAAAAACCCAAGTTGCATACAGATAATTATTAATAACAATATTGATAAATTTAATCAATTTTACTTTTGTGATCACGTGAACTCATGAAAAATATGCATAAATCAATATTTTGTCAATTTTTAAATTTTGGACCATAAAATAGAACAGGTTACATGATTTTAGTCTTTAGGTGTTGTGTATTATATTAAGTAAATAATATATTAAAGGTTAGTTAAGTCAGACCTGTAAGTCAATAGCAAAGTGGTTACACTTCCAGGCTGCCAATCACAAGGTTGCTAGTTCAAGTTCAATAAGAGATGATAACTGAGTTAGAACCATGATTGTTGATTAATCACATCTGATAATGCACTATGAAAATAGGAAGATCTTCAGTACCCAGATCCTTAAATGGTAATAGACCTAACATAAGAAGGCTATAATGATTAGAGGGCTGAGAATAATAATAGAACAAAGAAATCTCTGATTAGAAATAATCTCAGTATAATAGAAATACAAAAATTAATATATAGATAGTATTGTAAATATATATAAATAAAAATGTAAATGTAAAATATACAGGATTCTGATAAAAGGTTCTGTAAACTTGAAAAATTCAAAAAAAAAAAGTTAGTTGAGTCTATATAATTTTTAAAAAACTAAATCTCTTTATAATAGAAATAAAGTAAAGAATATTTTAGTAAAGAAGAGTCTTGGATTTTTTTAATAGTTTTGATTTTTTAAAAAAAATATATTTAATGAAGGTTTTGATTAGTATTTTTTTTTTTTTAAGGCTGATGTTATCAGTAGCTATTATCTTTATTTGTGTTTTAATTAATGCATTATATATAACTTGTACAAAATAAGTGTATAACTAATCATATATGTAACTTTTAGTTACCTATTTAAGTAGTCTGCCCAAGGGTTCTACACTAGCTGTCATGCTTGTAATCTACTAAAAGGATACTTATCTAAATACTTTAATTTTTATACTGTACTCAAATGAGTAATATCTAGTTTCTGTACAACTAAGTGCCATCTAACCTAACATTCAGCCTTCTTTTTTTGTACATTTGTCAAGCTGTTACATATTTTAGAGTATGCCATCTGATTATAAAGTTTCATGATACCATCTTGTTAACTAACTATCTACTCTATAGAATATTAACAAAGCTATCATCTGAACCTTAGCACCTACTTTATAGCATATCCTAAGTACTTATAATATACTACTGCTTTGACTTCAGACTTCTAATTTAGATATTCTAGTAGGACTATAATCTGTTCTTAGTATATTGAGCTAGCCTAATATTCTTTTTCTCTAGTTTGATTCTGGTAGCCTAATTAGTAATACTCTTTATCTTAAGGTTCTTGCCCATTTGACTTCTTTATATTGATATTTATTTTTTAAGTCTAGCCTTTACAATAGTACTATCAAAAATTCATATTATCTCTTTACTCAAGTCTTTTCAGATAGCTCTGGTTTTTTAGTTTTACAAATTTACATAGCTACAAGAACTTATTTTAGGTTTGTACTACTCAGTACTAGTTTGTATTCCTCTATATAACCAAGATTATACAAATGCTCTGTAATCTGCCAGTTATGCTAATACTATTATAGTTACAGATATCTTATTCTAACTAATTAACAGAATTTATCATCATAATACTATTAATATATTACATAAATAATTATCTAAATTTTTATTATTAGTAAGTTTTAAATTCACAACCTACTACTTGAAGAGTTGACAACTTATCTACTTTACTAAGTTATCAAATTCCTTAATTAGTACTTTATAAATTTTATTTTATGTAATGTTAAGTTAGTTTTGATTTAAAATTAATGAAATTTTAGAAAATAAATATTGGTTTATAGTAGTTTGTTTAGTATAGCTTTCAAGAGTTTCTTTAGTATAACTTTTCTAAAGAAAGATCTTGCATTTATGTTGTTTATAAGATTTGGGTTTATTGATTATAATAGAGATTTTAAGAGTTGTAATATGATGATTAGATTCAATTATATTAAATAGAAGAATTTTTGTATAATTGATATTAGTAATAAATAAATTAGTTCAGATTTGATTAATTTGATTTTTTATATTATCTCAATTAAAAATAAAGTTTAAAGTATCAGAATAAAAAACTTGGTAAATATCTTTAAATTGGAATCTAATTAAATATTGAATAATTTGGCTTTTAGAAATTAATGATTTTTTGAAAAAAAATTAGTTAATTTTTAGATTTAAAACACTATTTAAATCTTTTATAATAATTAGTTTGTATTTGTTATTTTGAATAAAAGAAATTATATAATCTTAAACTTCTTTATATAACTGTTTTTTTTTATAAGTTAGAAAATATATTTGAAAAAGCCTAATTGAAGTATTTTTGAACCAATAATCAAATCTGATTATATAATTATTATAATTGTATAATTTGGCATTATATTTAAAGATTTTTAATATATAAAAATACCAATATCAGCTTGATAAAGGTTGTATATAAGCTTCAAAGACTAATATAATTTTGAATTTAATTCTTAAGAAATTTGTTTTCTTTAAATAATAAGCATGTTTTAGAGAATTTAAAAATTTCAAAGTCATCTTTTTGTGGTAGTTTAGTTAAAGTAATTTTTTGTTAGATTAAGAGTGTCTATTTATATTTATTGAACTAATTTTAATTAAAAGAAAAATTTATTCAAATGCAATAATTAATGGAGCAATAGAGGATGCTATAGAGGTGTTTAAATTAGATAATTAAATAAATGTAAAAAAAAGATGTAGTTTATATTAGATATTGTCTAGTTAAAAAAAGTTAATAAATGATCATATATTTTGTAGAAAAAAGAATCATTATAGTATAGTCTAGTAATGTTAATTTTGTAATATGTAAATAGATATGTGTTTTTGTTTTTTTTTAAGTTTATAAATATTTTTATTAAATTAAAAAAATTTTAAATGTAAATAAAGGTATAATAGATTTAAGTATTTGAGATAATTTATGTTGTTTTAGAAATTTGTTATAATATTTGTCTTTTTTAGTAAGTATTAAAGCATTAAAGATAAAAATAGTATTTGTAATATTTTCTACAGAGTTGTTTACTATTTTAAGTTTGGCTTACATAGCTGTGAAAGGTATCATAATTTGCTCTATATATTGAATTTGGTTGTTATATTCTTGGTTTTTTACTGCAATAAGCTTTATTACCTGTTTACTGTTATCATTCCTTTTTAAGAATAGCCTATGAGTAATAAAAAATAGTATAATCTTAGAGGCAGCAGTTGTTTTAATGTTATCTATAAATGAACTTAGTAAAAAGAAGTTTTTTAATATTAAGTAAAGTTGTCAAATGTTGCTTTTTAAAGAGTAAAATTGTTAGAGTTATTGTTCTAAATAGTAGATAAAGTTGAATTTTCTTTTTTAGTTTTAGATTTATTTTGGTTTTCTATAAAAAGTATGTTATTGTATTAAGTAGAAATAGAAATATAGAGGTGTAGTGACCTAGTAAACTAGTTAGGTTGTCAACCTTTTAAGTGGTAGATCAAGTGTTCAAATTTCATCAATAACAAAAATTTGGATAATTATTTATGTAATATTTATATTATAGCAACTGTTATCAATAATTAGATTAATATATTTGTAATAATAGTTATATCAATATAACTAGTAGATTATGAAGCATTTGTGTAAATATGACAATATACAGAAGAATGCAAACTAACAATTGAATAGTGCAAACACTAGATAAATTCTTATAACTGTATAAATCCATTAAAATTAGATAACAAAAAGCCTATTTAAGAAGACCTAAATAAAAAGATAGCTAAATTTTTAATGGCTTTACTGTAAAGGCTAGCTCAAGAAAACAGATATCAAGATAATAATACTTAGTTATAATAATCAGATAGACAAAAATCTTCAAGTTAAGAGTTTTAGAAATATCATCAATTAGATTGCTAAAATAAATAAAGAAAAAGAATATTAGACTAACTTAATATATTAATGAACTAGTCATAATTCTATACAAACTATCTAGATTGAAAGTTTGATAAAAAAAACAGATTAAAAGGCAGAAGTATACTAAAGTACTAAAGTTATGCTATTAAGTAAATACTAGGATTGTATAAACTATACAAAAGCATAATAGTTAAATAATATAACTCTAATTGCAAATGTTAGTTCTGTTATAGTAATACTAGATCAGTTGTAAAAATAGATACAGAAAGCTCTAAAAGATTTATCTTAAAGATAAAATAGTCTTAAGATTGAGATAATGATTTGGATATCTAAATATAACCTAGTGATGATAATACAAATTGCAGATTTAAAAAGTTTAAAGTAGAACATTCAAACAAAGATGTTAAGTATAACAATTAGTAAAGAACTTTTAAGCAAACTCTTTAAATAGGTAATATAAAAAAGTTATATATATAGCTAATTGTATACTCTCTTATAATGGTTCACTAAATTACATTATTAAAAAAAATATTAATAAAAATCAAAAAAATCAAAAAAGGTACTTAAAAAAAAAAAAAATAGAAATATTAAAATGTTTAATTAAAAAATTTTTTGTTTTTGAATAATAAATTTTGTTATAATTAATTTTTAGTTGTTTAAGTGATACTTTAAATTAAAAGCAAATTTTATAAAAAGTTATTATTTAAGCTAATATGTATATATTAATAATAGAGTTTATAATTTTTCAAAAGCTTTTTCTTTAGATAACTCTTGAATTTTATTATTTTCTGTTAATGTATATAAGTATTTTTTCAAATATCGATAAAAATAATATGTAACTTAGGCACTTTACTACTAATATTATTAAGTGATACAAAGTTTTCTTTAGTTGATGTGACTAATTTTCTTAGTTCAAATATAGGTGTTGATTTTGAAAAGATTGCTATTAGTTGTTAATTTGGTTAAAATATTTTAGATTTTAATAAAAAGTACTTTTATTTTTTTGAATTAGATTCTAATATTGAATGAGATTTAAATAATTAAAAAAAATAAAATTTGAAAATATTTTTAAAAAAATATTTTGTATTATCTGATAATAAGTTATATAATTTACTATAACATTTATAAAAATGATGAAGAGCTGCTTTAAAGATAACTTTAGAACATTCTTGAATTGTAAATAATATATTAAAAAGTAAATAAGTTTTTAGTAAAACTTCTTTGCAATCTTCAATAAGTTTTTAAGATATTAATATTTTAATTAATAATTCATTAGTCATCTGGACAAAGATTATAGTTAGGCCTCCGTATAGGCCTAGGCTACCCATGGGTAGTATCATAAGGGCTGGGCTAGGGTGCTAGACTTTAAACCCTAGGGTAAGAGTAAGGGCTCAGAAGCCAAACCCTTATACATAAGAGCAGGGCTTAGTACATTATTATACCCAGTTCATATTTCAGAAGATACTCATCAAAAATATTAATATTACGAATTCGAAGTTACATGAGCATAAATGCATAGATCCAGCCAATCAATTTGATTTTTTTGCTTGTTCATATAACTTCTAAATGCATAACAAAAAAAAAATCAATAGCTTCAGATATAGGTATAAATTGTTAAAAAGAACAATACCAAGAATATAGTGATAGTATTTACTTTTTAATAATTTTTTAGAAAGGATGAATGCCTATTTGATCAAATTATTAATAAGAATAACCTTATTTATAATGATCTGGTTGCAATGCACGTATTGAGTTGTAACTTTAAACCAGGTTTATTCAAGTTCACAACATGAAAGAAACAAATAAAATTAACTCATCATTAATAAAACCTTATTTTATGATGATCTGGAATGATGTGCATATAGAGTAATAACTTTATTTATAATCTGGTCAATATAAGTTTATAATATGACCGAGACAAATAAGGATCGAATTTAAGAAATTTTAAGAGTTTTAAGAGTTTTAAAAATTTTAAAAGTTATATTTTATTTATAATGATATGAAATAATGTGTATATAGAGTAATAACTTTATTCCAATCGAGTTTACAACATAACAGAAACCAATAAGTATTGAATTTAAGAAATTTTAAAAGTTTTAAGAGTTACTCTTTGTTTATAACCTGTTTAACACAAAACAATCAATTATTAAAAATAAATAAAAATTGCCAACGAAACTAATTAATGAAATCAACCAAACCTACCAAAGAATTTAACTAACAAAAAAAAAAAGTCACTAACAAAACTGAGTTAACAAAAAATAAAAAACAAAAACAAGTCATTATTAAACTAAATATGAATGATTATAACCTGAATGATTATGATCTGAATAATTATGACCAAGATAACTATGACTAGAATAACTATGATTAGGATAACTATGACCAGGATAACTATGACCAGGATAACTATGATTATGACAACTACAACCAGAATAATAAAAACAAGAATAACTACAATCAAGATATTGCAAATAAAATAAGTTCAAAGTATTCTGTTTCAATATCAGAAGTATCAGAGTCATCCATTATCAATCCAGTTGACTCACAAAAAAACAAGTCTTCTGTCTAGGTGCATTTTTCTTTATTAACAAATAAACAAAAAGCTATGTGCAATTATTGTAAATACCAACTAAGTCATAAAAAGGGTACTGAAACGTCTCACCTTTACCATCACCTCAAATCATGCAGAAAGTATCAAAACTTAGTTTTCAAAAAAGGTTTAGCAGAACTACCTAAAGGTCAAATGCAATTGGAGTTTAGTCCAACAATTAAACCTTCAAACAACTCAATTCGAAAAAACTTAGTTAATATGATAATTAGAGATGAACTAAGTTTTCAGTTTGTAGAAAAGCAAGAGTTTCGAATATTATTTAATAGATTAGTACCCAACTTTACTATTAGTGCTGATACAGTAAAGCAAGATGTCATAAAAGCATATGATATAAAAAAGGTTTATATCAAAAAAATTCTTTAAAGTGCAAAGGGCAAAATCTTTCTAACTTGTAATATTTGAACATCGCTTCAGTAACTTGGATATTTATCAATTATTGCATACTTTCTTGATAAAAACTGAAATCTTTACTATCATTTAGATTAATCCACTTTCCCCATTCTGGAGTCAATATTGCCAATTGCATTAAAGTAGCAACAAATAAGTATTTAATTACTAATAAGATAATGAAAGAGTGATAATGCATTTAATTTAAGTTAATTGTGATAAAAAATGTTACGATTACATGATAATCGATATAGAGTTTATTCAAGTTAATAAGCAAATAATAAAACTTATATATTAAATATCAAGTGCTCTTGTTATTTTTATGCTACAACTAACCTATAAAGCTCAAAAAAAAGCTAAAGTTTGCGAGTTATAATTGCTTTATTGAAATAAATACCTGTAATTATATTGAGTACTTGTGAATCTAATATGTATATTTAATAAAAAGTTAGTATATCTGAATTTTAGAATGTTAATGTAACTTTAATAAACTAAATTTAGTAAATGTTATCTATTATATATTTAAATTATATTAACAATATTTTATTTTTAATAGGAATATAATCCTAATTGTAAACCTGATTAGAATAAAAAATAATGTTGAAATACAAAAAGTGAAGTGTCAAAAAAAACTATTTTGGATTAGTGACTATCAGATTCAAACTAAATATTTAAGTAATAAGAAGTGAAAACCTGTAAATTAGTTAATGGAGTTTTATATTATCAGTCTCAGACTCAATATATCTTATTACTTAGTAATATATTTACTATGTAATCAATCTTTGGACTAAGTTTATTATGATAGTTTATGAATTAATTTGTAGGTTTTCTTTCTTTATTACTTATATATTTATAATAAGGCCAGACCAATTCAATTCAGTGGTTTACATTATCCTTCCTCTTTATGCTAATTTTTTTTGACCAAATCAATTTAATATACAAATTTCATTTTTTTGCCTCTCTATTTTGAGAAGAGAATGTAATGTAATATCAAATTAAATTGGTCTGACCTAAATTATCAAAGTTTAACAGTAAAGCAACAAACCAAACAGGCAGAATTGTTTAATCATGTATAAAATACTAACACTATATATATTAATACTTTTTATTTCATAGCTACAAACTATTACTCTTAATAATACAAGTTCAAACGATGTTACAATTCGTGAATTGGCAGATCATATTTTCCAAAATTTTTATAGTAATATGAGTGAAGAGTTTTTTCATAACTGCTGCTTTGCTCATATCTTGAATCTAATCATGAAAGATGGTCTAAAAAAAATCTTAGAAATAATCTACAAGATAGTTATGCATTATTTAAATTTAATATATGATAATTTTTTAAATATTTTTTTGAATTTATTTAGATTTGTAGTTGTATTAAAACACTACACACAACTCTGAAGTAACATTAAATCTATTTAGATCTTTGTGAATATGAATCTGAAAGTCCTGTAATTCCATCATTAGATTGCGATACTCATTGGAATTCTACATATAAAATGTTACAATTAGCAATAAAAATGAAAAATGTGATTATTAGAATGAAAGATCATAACAAAACCTTTCCTGATATACTAGATGAAGAGGAATAGAAAAAGGCAAATAATATTTGTACTATTTTAAAATCATTTTATGACTGTATGATATTTATTAATTAATCAGTTTTAAAAAATTTATTATATTGCATTTTGGTAGTAAATTCACTATGTCATAAACCTTAGATTAATCTTTACTAAGTATTAATTTAATTTTATAAAAATAAATACTCTAAAACATCAGCAAATTCCTATCTGACTCTTAATAATGACTTTGCCTCTATCTTGAATATTTGTACTCATCTTCTTGGCATGAGATCTCATACTGAAGATTTTATTTGTAACGTTTGTGAACCTATGATAAAAAAGTTTAATAAGTATTGGAAAAATGGTGGCTCTCTATATATGGTTGCATATATTCTTGACTCTTGCTACAAGTTGCAATTCATCTCATTCTATTATCATGAAAAGAAAAAGCTAGAATCAGATAATCTCAATGACAAACTACAAAATATAAGAATAAAGTATGCATATTTATTAATTTATTAT